GTGCTGACAAACCTAGAAACATCATCAGGGCGAACCGGGATTCGAACCCACAATCGTAAGTTCCTTGGTGTGTCCAAGGGACACAACTCTGCACAATGAATTGCGGGAATCTTAGACGACTGGGTCACCCGTCCCCCCTTTATCAAGAAGGAAATCAGCAACAATTACATAGTGTTTACATACAGGAAGGTAAATGTTTCTGTTGCATCATAAAAATATGGACGACATTTGCATTCTGTCATTGGAGTACTTTATGGCTGTATTTCTAAACGCACAATAAAACTTTTTTAAATCACACAAGGCTGTGTGAAAGCCGTGCTAGGACGTGCTAAAAACGTGCTATCGATAGTAAACTTTGATTGGAAACATTAAAAAGTTTCTTATAAATTACTTGTTTCTCAGACCGTTTCAATTATTCAGACCCTGGGATTGTGGACTGTTAAAGCTGTGATTAAAAGAATGAAGCTGATCTTCCTTGGGAGCTTGTGTAGTAGCAACCACCGACATGCCTTAAAAAAACTGCTCTGTCTTAAGGGTGCTCAATATATAACACGTAGTCACAAAAATAGGTCTGCAAAACATGATCTACTCAGTGTAGCAAAGGAGTATGAACTTTGAAACACAGTAGATCACTTTATGAAAACTAACCAGTCCCCATTCAAGGATGTGCGGAACAAAACCGTACAGACCAATATAACTGTACATGAAACTGCTGATTGGCACACACGTGAAACTGATTTAATAACATTCACAGTAAACTTGTGCCACGTAGACATCATGTGTGCATCTATAACAATATGCCAACTAGAACTGTGTATGTACTTTTGAAGCTAGGAACACTACCAATACCATCTGGACTGTTTGTGCTGTGTGATGACGAGTGCGACACATAACAAAACACCAACTGCTATGTTGTACAGCTTCGGGTGGCACGGGTCCACCGGGATTCGAAACCCACAATCATAGGTTTCTGGCGTGCCCAAGGGACGCAACTCTGCACAGCGAATCGCGGCGCCTTAGACGACTGGGCCACCCGTGCCCCCGTGACATTACAAAATGATTTAATATTTTGTAGAGGATATGAGCCTTGATAGCTGGGCTGAATACATATCATCTGTATCAAGAGAAATAAGCCCTTGGAACCTGCGACCAATACAATCTACAGGCAGTAACATATCACATCCAGGATCATGTCATGTATATATGCAGTATTGTGAAACTTTCAATTTCTCTGCATAATGCTCCTGTAAATATGTTGTGTTACCCAGATCATAAATTTAAGGCACTCTTCGAAATAATTGGAGGAAATAAAGACTATTCATTCATTCATTCATTCATTCATTCATTCATTCATTCATTCACAGTCGTTGGCAACTATGGCAATATTAACCAAACAAAGGCTTTACAAAGGGAATTTATCAGAACGGGTTGTCATGTAGCATTTTAAAGAGTGAGCCACTTTTAGCAATATTTCAGCAACATCACCAGAAATGAGCTTCACTCATTGACCCCATGACGGGATTATAACCACAAGGCCACCTCCCCACAGTATAAAGAACATAACATATTAAAAATCATGCAAAAATATCACCAACTGAATAGGTTTTCCATAAGTTGTGATACGCTTACATTTAGAATAGTCAACTCAACTTATCCCCTGCAAACCACGTCCTATGTACGTCGTTATATGTTTGGCATGCTTTAATGGAGATATGGGTGCAGGAGTGTATTTGTACAAGTTGACCTTGCTGTGTGCATAGCCTTGCTTGTCATCCTTCCCGACTTAATACGCGTAAATCCGCCCATTCATGCGTGTATGAAGACACATTCATGGAAAGGCAAACCTTTACGACTGTGCACTTGTAATACCGGTCGGTCATTTCTTTACTGAATACTCCCCAGGGAAGAGAGAACGGGATTGGAATATTAATGATAGAATGAATACTCCTCTGTGATTAGCAAGGATTATCCATTTCCTGTGAGTGATCGACATGCGGAAGAACGATGTGTTTTTCCATTTACCCTATATGTGTGGGTGTGGTGTCACAGCAAGGCAGGGTTAATGGAATATGAATCATATCAAATCAAAACTGCTATCATTTCAAGATTGTTAACGACTGACACAGTCTACTGAACTTCACAATCCACCGAACAATGCATGTACAGTCTCTCCCGAACAACCCCAATTAATCGAAACACTACTAAAACACACAGTCGACTGAACCACATTCCACCGAGCCCTACAATCTACTGAAACACAAGCTACAGAAACACACAGTCGACTGAACCACATTCCACCGAGCCCTACAATCTACTAGACACAAGCTACAGAAACACACAGTCTACTGAACCACATTCCACCGAGCCCTACAATCTACTGAAACACAAGCTACAGAAACACACAGTCTACTGAAATGAAGTATACTGAATCACTATTGAATCACAATCACTACTGAATCACAATCTACTGATACACAGTCTAATGAACCACATATACATTGTAGAACCACAATCTACGGAGGCACAGTCTACTGAACCCCACAATCTACGGAGCCACATGCTACTAAACCAAACAATATACATAGCCACTATCTACAGAACCACAGTCCACTGAATTACAATCTACTGATACACAGTTTTATGAACCACACAATCTACAGAACCACAATCTACGGAACCACTCTCTACTACATCACAGTCTACTATACCACACAATATAAAGAGACACAGTCTACTAAACCACACGATCTAAAGAGACACAGTCTACTACATCATAGTCTACTAAACCACACAATCTAAAGAGACACAGTCTACTACACCACAGTCTACGAAACCACACAATCTAAAAATATACAGTCTAGTCCGTCGCTGTCTACTAAACCACACGATCTAAAGAGACACAGTCTACGACATCACAGTCTACTTAACCACACAATCTTAAGGGACACAGTCTACTACATCACAGTCTACTAAAACACACAATCTAAAGAGACATAGTCTACTGCACCACGCAATCTAAAGAGACACAGTCTACTGCACCACGCAATACAAAGAGACACAGTCTACGACATCACAGTCTACCAAACCACACGATTTAAAGAGACAGTCTACGACATCACAGTTTACTAAACTACACAATCTAAAGAGACACAGTCTACGACATCACAGTCTACTAAACTACACAATCTAAAGAGACACAGTCTACTACATCACAGTCTACTAAACCACATAATCTAAAGAGACACAGTCTACTACATCACAGTCTACTAAACTACACAATCTAAAGAGACACAGTCTACTACATCACAGTCTACGAAACCACATAATCTAAAGAGACAGTCTACTACATCACAGTCTACTAAACTACACAATCTAAAGAGTCTACTACATCACAGTCTACTAAACCACACAATCTAAAGAGTCACAGTCTACTGCACCACGCAATCCAAAGAGACACAGTCTACTGCACCACGCAATCCAAAGAGACACAGTCTACTACATCACAGTCTACTACACCACATAATCTAAAGAGACACAGTCTACTACATCACAGTCTACTTAACTACACAATATAAAGAGACACAGTCTACTAAACCACACAATCAAAAGAGACACAGTCTACTACATCACAGTCTACTAAACCATACAATCTAAAGAGACAAAGTCTACTAAATCACAGTCTACTAAAACACACAATCTAAAGAGGCACAGTCTACTAAATCACAGTCTACTAAACCACACAATCTAAAGAGACACAGCCTAATTAATCAAGTCTACTGAACCACAATCTACCGAATCGCAACCTACAGAACAACAATCTACTGAACCTAGTTGCTAAATTACAGTCTACTGAACCATACACTCTACAGAACCACAGTCTACTAAATCAAAATCGACTGAACCACAGTTTACTGAACTCTACGGTATATTGAACCACACAATCTACAGAGCCACAATCTACTGAACCACAACCTACTGAATCACAGTCTACTGAACTCTACGGTATACTGAACCACACAATCTACACAACCACAATCTACTGAACCACAATCTACAGAACCACAATCTACTGAACAACAGTCTGCTGAACTCTACGGTATACTGAACCACACAATCTACACAACCACAATCTACTGAACCACAATCTACAGAACCACAATCTACTGAACCACAGTCTACTGAACTCTACGGTATGTTGAACCACACAACCTACAGAACCACAATCTACTGAATCACAATCTATAGAACCACAATCCACTGAACCTCAATCTACAGAAACACAGTTTGCTAAACCACAATCTGCTGAACCGTACATTCTACAGAGCCATTATCGACCAAACAAAGTATACACCCTTGCCTGGTTGTGACGAAAATGAAACATACAAGACATGGTTATTTGATGCTGATGTACAGGATGCGGATATCACAGTTGTGTTTTGAGCCTCCAGCTTGCAGTGTTGGGGTGACTGTTTTGCGTGGACACGTTTATATAACGTTTGTAATTGTTTGGTCACGTCCAGTTTTCAAACGTATACTTTCTTTTGCCCGGATATTTTCAAGTGTTTTCAACAATAGCAGCTCTTATCGTGACTTGAATGACTCCAAGCATAAAGGAATTCTTTGCATTTATTTATATTTTCTTGCATTGATTCGTGTTGGCACAAAGTTTAAAATGCGGCATTAAAGGCCCATATTCCGGTGTCAGCCGCCGTGATATTCCTGGAATATTGCTAAAAGTGGCGTAAAACCATACTCACTCACTCACTCAAACTGAGGACATTGCATATTTGCAAGCAGGTAGCATTCAAATCTTCTTCAAGAAGTGTAATAATGCGTCCGTCCGTATTTTCGAATTCATGCATGTAAAGTTATTCAATCAGGTATGATTTACAAAAAAACTAAAACGTCAACGCCACGCCACTCCCACAATTTGCATAGAAACGGCAAAGACATGTTCATATTGTAACTCGGTGACCTGGTCGATTGAAACAATAACCTACCTTCTGGCACACACAATGGGTTTTCCATGTTGACGTATTCAGGCATGACTCCTTTACAGGAGATATTCTTTGAATAGGCTATTGGTAATTGGTCCCGCCACCTCAAGGAACAGCTCTTCTGCCAGAAACATTTATTCCTCTGCTTTCTTAGGTCAAAGGTCAGCCCCGTGCAGTCGCCATCTTGATATGCACAAGTGTTGTTCTCGCCTTTGCCAACAAAGATGACTGGCTGGTATATGACATGACCTTGTGGACAGCTGAAGGTCACTCTGTCTTCTACCCTCCCGATACATTTGGACATGAGAGCATCAGTGTCTGGAAATAAATTAATTAAATAATAAATTTGTGTAGCGTCTTTGCCAATTGAAATCTGCTCAATTGCTCTTAACAATCCTCAAAATGTGGGCTCACCAAAACAGGGTACATGACAAGTTTGTAGATGTTCCCACTGACAAGGCCTCAAATAACATAACCATTATATGTAAGCACCACTACATTAATGGTTTGATCAAATAACTTGGCATAAATAACGTATCAAATAATGCCACACATAAGATCAGTACTTCAACTGAGGAAGAAATCTACCGAAACAATAAATCAGCATTTTGAACTTTTGACTTGACTCTAAAACCTGAAGATATGTCCATTCCTCTTTTGTACGGGATTCCGAAGCTCCATAAAATCCATACAAAGCAAGATATGTTGCTGGGTCCTGCAAATGTACCTTCAATTCTCTGTCTCAAAGACTAACCATAATCCTTAATACAATCGAGAAAGGACTTTATATTCACAGAAAGTATTTGAGACAAGTGGAATTAATGCCATGTGGATTCTCGAAAACGATTTGCTTGTCTTTTTGCAATCTAAGAAAGGAACCAAGTTCCACTCTGTCAAAACATTTGATTTTTCAATTTTGTACACCTCTATCCCACATGACAAACTTAAGGGAAAACTTCATTCCTTGATCCATGGGCCGTGGTGAACACAGATACAGTCTGGCTTCCCTACATGACAAGTTTGTAGTTGTCTCCACTGACAAGGCCTTACATAACATAACCATAACGTGTAAGCATCCCTACATTACTTGTTTGATCAATTTACCAGATATAACTGACATGTCAAATAACATCACACATGAGGCCCAGCATGTTAACTGAGAATAATAATAAAAGCGACAAAACCTTTTTTCCAATTCAAGTCGAATGTACGTTTCCGACTATGTCATGAGCGTGTGTTTATGAATCATTCTCAAACAGTGATTATACCGGATGTTCGTAAGAAGGTGAGCGCATCCTGTCCCACCAGTGACACTCGTCACAAACACATGCAAAGGCAATTAAGAAATCAGCAAAAACACGCATTGGCGTTACCAACTCTTGACTTGAATCAAAAACATGAATGAATGAATGAACGGATGAATGAATGAATGAATGAATGAATGAATGAATGAATGAATGAATGAATGTTTTTATTTCCTCCAGATCAATCCGAATATTCTCAAAACATCAAGATTATGTAATTAAATAATGAAATAACAAAATAAAATCTTAATGTTTTGAGAATATTCGGAGTTATGTAGAGGAAATATATATATGTACACACACAGGCTGTATACAGAGAGAGATAGTGGTAATATTACCACACGTTGTTTAGGATAAGTTTAATTTGATATATATACATTGAGAATCCTATATTAGTGAAATGCCACGTTATTTCATCAATGTCGTTGGTATCTGCATAAAGAAAGAATGCTTATATACCATGGTCTTTAATCATCTCTGTTTTAACATACATTTCACATCAAGATTATCAATTAGAGTGGAAAAGAATACATCTCTCTCTGAAAGTAGACATTCACAGTTTAAGATGATATCATCTTAATTTGCAGGAAAGAGGAATTAATCTCATGTGAATTATCAAAATCATCCAATAAATGTTTGCACTCTCTGAAAGGCAAATTATGTCACAACATTTGATTTTTCAACTTTTGTACATCACGATCCCATACGACAAAGTTAAGGAAAAACTGCATTTTTTTTTATCCACGGGGCATTTGTTACTTAACGTGGTGACCATATATATAGTTACGGAGATGTAGGTTCAAGACGATATGTCAATATGAAAGCAAATGTCATCTGAAGTTTACTGAGAAAACAACGTGAAAATAATGCTGAAAATAGGGAGTAAGACATTTAGGCAAGAAGTAGCCAACCCCATGGGCACCTGTTGTGCTCCCATCCCAGCTGATCTGTTTCCGTGTACATATGAATTGGAATTTTGGCTCGGATTGGTAAAATCAAAACAAGGCAATTTGGTCAAGTAGTTTAACTTAAGCTCCAGGTATATCGATGATCTGATATTTTTCAATAATGGCCGAATACCCAATACCCTCCCACTGATGTACCCACCTGACCCATGTGACGTTAAATAATAACTCACTCACTCACTCACCCACCTGAACAAGAATTTAAAGAACTGAGGAAACTCCCTCGTCTGTTTCAGAGTGACACACCACATTCGTTCAAACAAAGCAGGATGACTTCAACTTCCAATAGTCAATGGTCAACATTTAACGTTTAAGACACATTCGAGGAATGCGCTTTCTACGAAGAGCGCCTTACGACACTTGTCAAAGGCCTCAAGAAAGCTTTCAAAACGTCTGATGGTAGACATGTGGAGGACATGTCCAAATTTGACTCATCACTGACAAAAAAAATGTTGGATGCAATTACTGTTCCTGGTTTTTTAGGTGAACAATTGACTTGCCTTTGCATTTGTTTGTGACAGCTACCAACGATTGGGCAGGATACGCTCAACTGTTCGCTCAACATCACATCATCACAATTTGATAGTGATTCAATAACACATGCTCATGATACACTCGGATTCGTACAGCGGACTCTGGTTTTAGGAGTGATTTCGTGTGATTATGGAAATGTTTTTGTTGCTCTGATATTAATGATATTTCTACCTAAAATATTAAACCGATTAAGCTAATAATATTTTGTTTTTAAGTTTCCTGCTGTATACACGAATGTTCTGAGTATTTCGATAAGAACTGTCTTTTATTTATTCGGTTATTATTTTTTTATCTGTTTTCTGAAATGTAAGAGAACGAGCGGCACAACGTGAATCATACCAGTTATCTCTATCATGACCATTTATTTTATTACCACGAATCGACTCTCCGCGTATTTCTTCCACCGTCCAATCAACCAGTCGTTTTTCAGAAGGAAGATTAACAGTTTATGTATTTTTTTACCAGGATGCAGATTGTAACAAAGTACACTGAGCCTATGTTACGCTTAATCGACACAAACGACAAGGGGTGGTGTGTGGTGATGTAGGGTGGTGTTTATCGTAAAATAAAACACTGCAGGGAGAATAAACCACGAGATATCAACATGATTTACAGCCTTTTAAAAATGGTAATCAAACTGACAAGCTTTACAAATATGTACCCGCATTTTAATGATGATGGCTCTCTAAATATAATCATATGTCGGCATAGTACATTTATGTTCTAATCTCAAACCCGTAAACAGAATGTAGCTTCTCATAGCTGTTTCCATCGATTGTGAATTCGTTTTAATTCTTTTACAATGCCGTATTAAACATGTCGGTTAGAAAAGTTCGTTTTAGCAATATCACCCGGGGAACATATGGTTTCATGCGTCCATCGTTAGGTTTTGCGAGTGTTGCTGCTGCAACTTCTGATATTCTGTGTATATATCAAGATGTTAATATTAATCTCGCTAGCTTAATCTGCATTAGACGGTTTTGACGTATAAACATAAACTAACACCCCATAATTCATCGCCAAGTCAGAATATATGTAGCTGACATTGTCCTGTCGTGATTGGTAATATGGTAGGCATTTCACATCTACTTCAGTCAACACCCTAATGGTTGGGGTCACTAATGTACATGACGTCACCACGTCTTCATATATCTGAACATACATAAACGTGAAATCAAGAACAGTTGATAGTTGAGGTCATTAATGTACATGATATCAAGAACACAGTTGATAGTTGAGGTCACTAATGTACATGCCGTCACCACGTCTTCATATAGCTGAACATACATCAACGTGAAATCAAGAATAGTTGATAGTTGAGGGCACTGTTGTGCATGATATCGAGAACAAAGTTGATAGTTGAGGTCATTAATATAAATGATATCAAGAACACTGTTGATAGTTGAGGTCATAAATGTAAATGACAGCAAGAACACAGTTGATAGTTGAGGTCATAAATGAAAATTACGTCACCACGTCTTCATATAGCTGAACATACATCAACGTGAAATCAAGAACAGTTGATAGTTGAGGTCAGTAATGTAATTTACATCAAGAACACAGTTGATAGTTGAGGTCATTAATGTGCATGACACCTACACATCTTCATATATCTGAACATACATCAACGTGAAAACACAATTGTTAGTTGAGGTATCTAATGAACATAATATCAATACATCCACATTAGTATACGCTTTTGTCAATTTCAATATTTGTGCCACCAGGGAAGACGTGATACGCTCCCTAGGTTTGTGTGCACATCCATATGAAGACAAGGATGGTAATTGCATTTTTGTGTCATTGTACCCTACATATAAAATTACCACTGGCAGTTGTGTAACATTCAAATGTAAGGAATCAGCGTATCAAACATTGCCACCCACATCGCAATAGTTGATGTACATACAGTGTTGTATTTAGACGATTCGAAGTAACTACAATGTATTGAAGCAGAATCAAGCATTGTTCATTGACGTTAAACCCATCATTTAACAATTTACTCAACGCCAGTCAGTCGCCCCAAAACAAAGTGTTTTATACACAAGTATTTCCGCTTCGGGTACATACATACAGACCAGTCAGACACGGCAAATACGCATATTATAAGTCAGGAGAAATGTTACGAACGTTGTGTATGGACAGTAAGACAACTCAATTAATGTCTGTGAGATGAGATGAGGTGAAATGGGGTTTGTGTGTGTGTGTGTGTGTGTGTGTGTGTGTGTGTGTGTGTGTGTGTGTGTGTGTGTGTGTGTGTGTGTGTGTGTGTGTGTGTGTGTGTGTGTGTGTGTGTGTGTGTGTAAAACCTCCCGCAGTGTTGAGATGGATACTCCACTCACATTTTGTAAATGACATGCATACAGACACACACACACACACACTAACACACACACTAACACACTAACACACACTAACACACACACACGCACATACTTATATCATTCATATGACAATTATACTCACAGTATACTGGTAGTAGAGACAGCATGACCACACAACGCCACATGTTGACTACGAGGTATATAATCTAATAAACTCTGTGTGTGTCAAGATATAGTCAGACACTTCCTTATTGGGGGAATTCCCATATAGAGATGTGACTCAGCGTGGTTTTTTTGAAATGTTTGAACAATATGTCAGTTGTATCACGGCTCGTTTGTTGATACATGGCATCGTATCCCCATTGTGTAGATCGATGCTCATGCTGTCAGTCACTGGATACTTCCGATGCATCCCTGGTCTGAATATAATGGCTGACACGATTGTCTACACTGAAAAAAGGGTGTTTAGAATGTAAACACATACATGAGATGTTTAGGAATGTGTTGCAATCCTGCACGGAATACACATTTGGTATGTTCTGTTTAAACACGTTTAGGGTCTATCATACAGAGTGAGTGAGTGAATATGGTTTTACGCCGCGTTTAGCAATATTCCAGCAATATCACGGCGGGGGAAACCAGAAATGGGCTTCACACATTGTACCCATGCTATCATACAGAAGCTGACAATGAAACTATATATGTCTGATTACTACGATAGACCCTTAATTGTTTCAGGTTTACACACACACACTTCTAGTCTTCTTAACAAGTCAGTATTACGGTAAAAGGAATGTGTTTTGGTTTGTGTTTAGGATCTCAACACATTTTGTAAAGTGTAAGATGGGTATCTTTACCGTTATAGGGGCACAAGTATCAGTGAAAGAATTTCAGTAACTCTACGAATGTATTGATTATCTTTATCAGGTAGCTCCTATCTTCTATATAATGTGGGCGGATTCTGATAAAACTTGGTTTGTGGATGTGAGTTCGTGAATAAGATATTTACACAGTGGATAATGTGACGAAAAAGATTCTTGATCCTGGACACTCTAGATTCTATCTCCATCATCAGCAATCTGTATTGTCACTGGTTAATCACCCGGAAATGACGAATCGAACACATAGACAAACCGACGATATAACGTAACTGAAAATAAAATTAAAACATGAAAAATTACAAATTACCATAATGAAACCTTAATTTATTCGTCCTGTGCATGAGTCTTGTTTTACTACGCTTGTCGTATTATACCAGGGCTCACTTGCACAAAGCGATCTTAGCGCTAAGATGATCGTAACTCCCATACTTTGGCATATGCTTACAATAGTCTTAGCGCTAAGATCGCTTTGTGCAAGTGGGCCCAGCTGTATCACCGCCTGGGACGCCAAGAACGCATTTCACTTGTCCAGTGGCACATGGAACCCGGACCTTCGTCGTGACGAGGTGACATCCTCACCACAATTCTGACCACCATCATGCGCATAAGGAGTTTTCTATTGAATCTGAAACGTTTTCTACGAAGTGTCGATCAGGATATCGTGTGTAAAGCACAACAACGTGCAATCGTGCACCTGCTCATTGACCTGAATGTTGTTCAATGACTGGAACTTGGTATCCAAGGTGATAACGTGGTTGTGGCACGTGACATACCAATGATGTTCCCTGTACCATGTAGGTCTAGTTAATGATGGCTGTATTGACTTCGTCTTTAGTCGCATCGCTTCCTGAATAGAATTATTCAAAATCCGTGTATGAAGACGTTAATGTGGACTTAAATAGTGTCTTAATAGACATGAAAAACGCAAATTGGGCTAATAAGTGTACACAATATCAACCCAATGATTCTGTCATGAAATTACTCTACTTCGTCTGTGGTTTGAAATGTGTTACCAACTATTTGACGCTTCATGATTATGTAGCAGGGCGTGGAGTCCCACAGTTGCATATGTCACACCTCAGTTTGCCCAAGATTAGACTAAATAGGTATCAAATGTATGATAACAAATCTGCAAATCCAACAATACATTGCAGGTTGTTAAGCTGATTAAAACTCTCAATGAAATACAAGGCGAAGCATATAATGATATCGTGATTTTGTATGCATACATACAAAGTTAGAGTTCAATGTTCAAAAAACTATTACCGTTACTGTCTTGAGGAGACACAAGGGATGGGATATTGAATTTGGCAAACCAACAAAAACAAAAGGTCTAAGGGCGTGAAAATGTTATTAGGGTTTACAACACATCCTTAGGCTTATAAATTTTCTTGGGGCGGTGGGGTAGCTAAAGTGGTTAAAGCGTTGGCTCGTCACGTCAAAGGACCGGGTTCGATTTCCCATAATGGGTACAATGTGTGAAGTCCATTTTCCGGTGTCAGCCGCCGTGATATTGCTGGAATAGTGTTAAAAGTGGCATAAAACAATACTCACTCACTCATAATTACACAGAGCTATATGCGTGGGTTGGTCGGAACAAGCATATCAAAAAGTGTATGTACACCCATATTTATCAGATGGCGCAATAAAGGACTATTAAACTGTGTCATGTTTTCACTACAGTCTGGGTCTATTTCCCATTGGTGTAGACGCAGCGTATTTGATAACGTGATAACACTGCTTATAAACAACTGTACAGCTCATCTACCTCTAACGCCTGTATCGACCTGTTTAACAGCTGCACAGAACTCACAGGACACATACATCCTGTTACGTGTAATGATGACAGTTTAAAGTATGAGGAAGTGTAATAGGTGCACGAACAGCTTACACGTGCTATGTAATTAGATTGGGTGATTTGGCTCTTCGACTGAACGGAGTGGGTGGATAGACTCTTTGAATAAATAGATTGGTCGATTTGACTCTTCGACTAAATAGATTGGATGATTAGGCTCATCAACTAAATGGATTGGTGATTAGGGGCATAGACTAAATTGATTGGGTGAATGGACTCTTCGACTGAATGGATTGGGTGAATAGACTCTTCGACTAAATAGATTTGTGATTAGGCTCTTCCACTAAATGGATTGGGTGATTAGGCTCTTCAGCTAAATAGATTGGGTGATAAGGCTCTTCAGCTAAATAGATTGGGTGATTAGGCTCTTCAGCTAAATAGATTGGGTGATTAGGCTCTTCAGCTAAATAGATTGGGTGATTAGGCTCTTCAACTATTTGGCTGCGGGTCTCATCACCCTGATGGCGTGGTTTGTTGCTCATAATATCAATCACTGGTGAACCTGCTCCAGACTCGATTATTCACAGACCGACGTCACATATACTTGATTATTGGTGAGTGTAGCTTTAAAGAAGAACAAATTTAAGATATCCCTTGGATAGCGTTTACCTTTCAGAGCTGAGATGTAATATCGCTCAGTTGAATTCTCTGTCCAATCCTTTAGCCAAGTTCAGGTCGTAATGTGGCGCCGACCTCCGTGCATCTCTCTGACATTGTCCATCACAATATATATTATAGTCACCCCGAGGAAGAACAGAGGACGCGCAGGAAGAATCACACCTCATGGACTACACACCTGTTCTGTACGGTATCCAAGTAAACCCTTCTGAAGGCAACTACCCCAAAATGAATCTGTCCACCAGCAACACCTGACAGCAGAAGCACTTGGCGACATGAGTGCCCCGATCATCATCTCTATATTTAGAGATACGCAGCACGTTTGTGGAAATTCCTTACTTCACACGTGGAGGAGACACGAAGCACTCGACCGCGATACTTTCAGTCTACGCTTTTTGCAAACATAACGGGCAGGATGTATTAATGAGGTATCTTGGCTTATTATGCTCCAATACGCCAAGATGTCACAAGGCCACATGCTCCAATACGCCAAGATGTCACAAGGCCACATGCTCCAATACGCCAAGATGTCACAAGGACACATGCTCCAATACGCTAAGATGTTACAAGGCCATATGCTCCAATACGCCAAGATGTTACAAGGCCACATGCCCCAATACGCCAAGATGTTACAAGGCCACATGCTCCAATACGCCAAGATGTTGCGAGGCCACATGCTCCAATACGCAAAGATGTTGCGAGGCCACATGCTCCAATACGCCAAGATGTCACAAGGCCACATGCTCCAATACGCCAAGATGTCACAAGGCCACATGATCCAATACGCCAAGATGTCACAAGGCCACATGCTCCAATACGCCAAGATGTCACAAGGCCACATGATCCAATACGCCAAGATGTCACAAGGCCACATGATCCAATACGCCAAGATGTCACAAGGCCATATGCTCCAATACGCCAAGATATCACAAGGCCACATGCTCCAATACGCCAAGATGTCACAAGGCCATATGCTCCAATACGCCAAGATGTCAAAAGGGCCATATGCTCGAATACGCCAAGATGTTACAAGGCCAGATGCTCCAATACGCCAAGATGTCACAAGGCCACATGCTCCAATACGCCAAGATGTCACAAGGCCACATGCTCCAATACGCCAAGATGTCACAAGGCCACATGCTCTAATACGCCAAGATGTTACAAGGCCACATGCTCCAATACGCCAAGATGTCACAAGGCCACATGCTCCAATACGCCAAGATGTCACAGGCCACATGCTCCAATAAGCCAAGATGTTACAAGGCCACATGCTCCAATACAACAAGATGTCACAAGGCCACATGCTCCAATACGCCAAGATGTCACAAGGCCACATGATCCAATACGCCAAGATGTCACAAGGCCACATGCTCCAATACGCCAAGATGTTACAAGGCCATATGCTCCAATACGCCAAGATGTCACAAGGCCACATGCTCCAATACGCCAAGATGTCACAAGGCCATATGCTCCAATACGCCAAGATGTTACAAGGCCATATGCTCCAATACGCCAAGATGTCACAAGGCCACATGCTCCAATACGCCAAGATGTTACGAGGCCACATGCTCCAATACGCCAAGATGTCACAAGGCCACATGCCCCAATAAACCTAGACACCACACGGACACATGCTCCAATAAACCTAGACACTACACGGACACATGCTCCAATAAACCTAGACACTACACGGACACATGCTCCAATAAACCTAGACACTACACGGACACATGCTCCAATAAACCTAGATACTACACGGACACATGCTCCAATAAACCTAGATACTACACGGACACATGACCCAATAAACCTAGACACTACACGGACACATGACCCAATAAACCTAGATACCACACGGACACATGCCCCAATAAACCTAGATACCACACGGACACATGCTCCAATAAACCTAGATACAACACGGACACATGACCCAATAAACCTAGACACTACACGGACACATGCTCCAAGAAAACTAGACACTACACGGACACATGCTCCAAGAAAACTAGACACTACACGGACACATGCCCCAATTAACCTAGATACCACACTGACACATGCCCCAATAAACCTAGATACCACACGGACACATGCTCCAATAAACCTAGATACAACACGGACACATGCTCCAATAAACCTAGACACTACACGGACACATGCCCCAATAAACCTAGACACCACACGGACACATGCTCCAATAAACCTAGACACTACACGGACACATGCTCCAAGAAAACTAGACACTACACGGACACATGCCCCAATAAACCTAGATACCACACTGACACATGCCCCAATAAACCTAGATACCACACGGACACATGCTCCAATAAACCTAGATACAACACGGACACATGCTCCAATAAACCTAGACACTACACGGACACATGCCCCAATAAACCTAGACACCACACGGACACATGCTCCAATAAACCTAGACACTACACGGACACATGCCCAAATAAACCTAGACACTACACGGACACATGCTCCAATAAACCTAGACACTACACGGACACATGCCCCAATAAACCGAGACACCACACGGACACATGCTCCAATAATAAAAGTAACAGTATTCTGCCTTACATATATGTCCGCATGACAGCATGAGATATCAGCACCTCATGTAAATTCCAGACTGTGATATGTAGTGTGCATTGATTACATAATGAGTGCATTGATAACATACAGAAGGTTTTGATAACATGCAGAGTGTATCGAGAACATATGGAGTATATTGGTAACGTACAGGCTGCTTTGATACCCACCTCTGTACATACCTGCCCACAAATGCTATATGTCGGCAGTCTGAAAATAATCGCCCCTGGACCATATAATCCTGTGATTGATTCTATGAGCAAAGATCCACATCACTGGGGACAGATGATACGCCATGTACCAAGTCTATGAGCCTGACCAACCGATGCACTGAGTCGATCACATATGGCCAGGATTCTCCACAGGGGTGTTGATAAACTAAATAGGGATCAACATAATGTTATGCAGGTGTCAAGACTGTTTCAACTGGAGTGAGTGTGTGGCTCTTCCAGATTCCAGTTATATCACGGCGTGTCAGCTTCATGTGGGAGGAAAGCCCGAAGTGATGCAGGTCTCAGACGTTTGCCATTTTGGTGAAACCCAGAAGCACGGATTGTGTCAATTGGAAGTTAGGTAATGGAGAAACCATGACACCGAAGGAATGGTATGATTGTGTAACCGGGTAGGCACAGAAAAGCCGAGGACGCGTAGCGTCCGAGGTTTTTCTGTGCCTACCCAGTTATACAATCATACCATTCCTAAGGTGGAATGGTTTGTCCAACTTATAAACCGCTATCCATTAATCTATGTCATTTTTGGAGCTTATATTTACGCGGTATACGGGTCGCAAATAAGCGCGGTATAACGAGACACGCTTTATAACAGTTGTTATCGCGGGCCGCTGCGCGGACTGCACGTGCTGAAGAGGGCTGTATGCGCAGAAAGAACCGCGTGCGTCGTACCACATGGCATTGTGTCGTTGACTGTTCACAAGAGAGGATGTCTGACGATGACGATATTTTCCTTACTCAAAGTAAGTTAATTGATGAAAATTCTGCAGAAAAGGATGACATTTTTATTTGAAAGGTTTTTCAAGTGCATTTTAGAGAAACTACAAATACCATCCAGCAATCGGAATTTCACGACAGGTTTTGCAATTGCTCCCCAGGTTTTACAATTGCAATTGTTAAACCTGGGGAGCAATTGTAAAACCTGAGGAGCAATTGTAAAACCTGCTGAGTGGTCTTACTACAAAATAAAGGTCGTCTGGGAGATGGTTACAACACCATGGTTTATAAGCGTTAAGAGACAACAATAACGAAGAATATCACGTTATATCTAACAGTATATTCGACGTCCCTGATGAGTGACATGTTTGAGTAAAGTTCTGTAATTAATTAAAATTCAGATAAATATGTATTTAATTAAAAAACACGGTTATGATTATTTGGAGATCCACGAATACATAAAAATTTGGAGATTTGGTTTCTTTAAAATTTCACTCTTGTAATGTGTCTATCAAAATGAAACTTCTATGTATACAGTTGACATAGCGCGTATCAGGCTTCAAGTGACAGGTTCGGATCGTGACAGATTCAACATACGGAAGCCTAGGCCACAGAAATGCTATTTGCAAAACTGAAAACAGTTATGTGACTGAGTCACGATGATGCATTCATGTGAAACACGTGGGTAAGTACATCTCAGCCGCGGCAATGTTTGCAAGGAAATTGATGGTAATCGTCAAATCTGATCATTGTGAACCATTCCGAGGAATCACAGAAAGGATTACATTTTCGTCACATCACGAACTTGAAACGGGTACACCAACGTTTTCCCTATTGCGTTGAAGGCTTAGTTACTACGCTGTGAAAATACAGCTTACCCGGTCAGCCTGTAAATAGACCTATTCAGTTACATATTACGCATTACGGGCACCCAGACACAGAACAATACTTCCCGATTTTTAGTGTTGATAATGAGTAACGAGTATAAATCTCGGCTCCACGTGAAATGCATGTACAACGGAGATAATTTGCCCATATAATATAGTTACATGAAGATACATAGGGGTACATGCCGATTAATAGGGTTACATGAGCGATACAATGGGGGTACATGACGATTAATAGGGTTACATGAGCGATACAATGGGGGTACATGACGATACAATGGTGAACATGTGGATACAATGGGGTATATGACGATACAATGGTGTACATGACAATACAGTGGTGTACATGACGATACAAAGGTGAATATGGGAATACGATGGTGAACATAATGAGTGGGTGAGATCGCTGACTGGCGATTAGTATAAGTGCCTCACTCTGGCAGCGTCGGTTCTCAACCCCCAAAAAGTACGAGAACCTATACTCTACTGAGAAAGTGTTAGCCCAAATATAACACTTGTTACATTTGACCACCTTCTAAATGGCATTTTGTGTTCACAGCACTCCCAGAGTTTTTAATCGGGTAGGTTCAAAATCCACTCGAAACATGTAGAACCGTACAGGAAGTACATATACATCCGGGTGATCCGACGCGACGCATTATCTATTGTGGTAGCACAACAGGGAATATCCGGTATTTACTTCCGTGTGTAGTTTCAGTGTTATGTGGGTCATCGCTACCTGTCGTCACGGGGTTGTGAGCCAGGAAGAGATGTGCGCAGTAACGAATGCATGTCGCAATATCT